CATATACCTCATATACCACATATAGCTCATATACCACGTATACCTCATATACCACATATACCTCATATACCACATATAGCTCATATACCACGTATACCTCATATACCACATATACTACATATACCTCATATACCACACAACCCTATTTGTAACATTAGACTTTATTTGATAAATATTTATTTTAACTGTAAAATAAAGACTGTAAAAATACTGTAGGATGTTTAGTTTTTATCGTTTTTAAACTAAAAGTTTAAAAATATATTTTAACACGGACGGAGCTATTTTATTTGCACACAAAGCATTCTGGGTAAATGATGACGTGGATAGGTCCTCGGTGCGAGGCTGCTAGCGAGCTATATCCACCCTGAAGGTTAATCCTGGACAATATCTGATGATCGACTCTCAGAAGCTGAGAGTTTATCCAACATGTCGTCGTGTGCACAATTAGATATGTTAACAACCAACATCAAACAACAAACAACACTGTTGTTTGTTGTTTGATAAAGCTCTATCGTTCAGTTGGCAGTGTGCACTAATTATTGCTGTTTTGTAGGTTTATGTGTCTTTATGACATATTTAGTGTGAAATTCATTTCTAAAACTTTAATTTTACTAAAGTATAACTTTAGATTCTGATTTACATATAAATATTTTTATTGGTAAATATCTTTTTAAATACTGCAAAAACATTTTCATGTTGTAGTGAACCACAGCTATTTGTTACATTAGTGAAAGTGAAATAACAAACATTATTTATTTTTATTTCTGTAGCTATTTATTTGTTTAATTATTTCTTAGTGTTTTTTAACAGTTAACAAAAAAATTGTGATATTAATCGAGATCGGACGAAATGAAAAAATTAATTTTGTGATATTTATTTTTCCATGTCACCCAGCCCCAGGACACAGTTTGAAATAGTTTATCTACAGAAACAGTAGAAGTTCCTGACCTGCTGCTGTGATGAACTGAATTTATCTGTCAGGACTCAAACTAATTAAACCATATGAACTTATGATGCTGTTAGATGTAAATAAAAGCAGACAGGAAAGAGTGTCTCCCTGATGACGTCAGAGCAGATACATCAGATGATGACGTCACATCCTTACAGCTCTGCAGCATCTCGGTCAGGGTCTCCACAGCGGCCTTCTCCGCGCTGTCGAAGCCGCTCTCAGTGAGCAGGGCGCTGGCCACCACCTGCAGGGTGCGGCGGCGGGCCAGCTGGTAGTTGTCTGCGGGGCCGGAGGCTGCTTTACAGCCGCGCTGAGGGACACAGCAGGGTTAAAGGCTGGAGATTATTTAATCTGCACGGTGTCAATGAGGATAATCTGTGTTTCAGATCATCTGGTTTCACTCACATTTAATTTAATCAATCATTAGATCACGTGGTGTTCAGACACAAACATCAGAGTTAGGTTTGTTAACTCTGTTTCATAAATATGATTAATTCCTGTTCAGATTATTTAGCGCTAACTGTTTCTCCTGTGACCGTAAAGCAGAGCGAAAGCTGCCGTAAAAAGCGCCTCTTACCCCGCCTGCGTTCAGCGGTCCTCCCGCCATCACCGCAGAGTCCGCCATCTGCGATTATTTTACTGCTCTACTTGTATTAATTACATCAAACATTCATTTTCCTTTTCCTCACAGTGGTTAGCATTCAACAGTAAACACGGTGAGTGAGTCAGGGATGTCATTTCCGGTCTCTGGGCGGAAGTTAAAAAAAACATCCTCGGTTTGTTTGTAACGCCGCCCTTTAGTGTTCATCTGCAGACATTACAAGGTTAACTGTTGAGAAAAACTACAAATATAAGACAAATACTCTGCTTTTATACACACACACACACACACACACACACACACACACACACNGAGCTTTTTCTGTTGCTGCTCCTGTTTTATGGAATAATTTACCTTTCCAGATTAGATCTGCCCACAGCCTGGATCATTTTAAATCGCTTCTTAAAACTCATTTTTATTCTTTGGCGTTTAATTGATGTATTATTTTTGCTCTGTTTGTCATTTGTGTTGTTCTTGTACAGCACTTTGGTACAGCTTTATGCATGTTGTAAAGTGCTATAGAAATAAATTTGACATTGACATTGACCTGTACAACAAACAGGTTAAAGAAGCACAGCAGACACTGAAGTCTCTGTGAAGCTGCAGTCTTACCCATTTCAATGAGTGTCATCACCGTGTCTGACAGGGTGGGCACGCTCCTGGCTGTGTGTTCACAGTAAGCTTTAGCACATCGACCCACTTCACTGATATCTTTACAAAAACAAACAAACAATATAAGTTAGTGTTTCAGAAAACAACACATTTGAACAGTGCTGCATGGTTTTAGTGAGGCATGTGTTCATGTTCGTAGTCACTAAGGTTTGTTTTTATTAACAGCACTCAGAGGTTAAAGGATCCATGATCAGGTGTTTGCAGGGCTCACAGTTTAAACTGAATCCCTTCATGATAACAGTTTATATCAGTACTAAATGATCATAAAAAGTTAAGATAATGTCATTTTGAGAGCTCTTTTTTGCTGAAAACTGTAATCTTCATTAAACCCAACATTTTTACTTTAATATCAACCTGTCAAACAATGAGCTTCTGCTGCTGAACTTATCAGCTGCTGCTCTGCTGCACAATCATCTTCATCATCTTCATCATCAGAGCAGAAGCCCACTTTACAATAACAAGATGAATTTATGACTAAAGTAACGTCCACGTCTTTTTTATTTTCTCTGTGGGTAACAATACATAAAAACTTTTTTTCTCCGACAACTTGAATTAAAAACTACAGTTGTTAAAGCTTCGCTCTGCGTGACGTGGAGGGAGGAAATGATCCTGACGTAACTTTTCTACAGAAGGAGGGGGAAATTTTCAGGATTTATTCTCTTTACACATTTTAAAACACTTTAATTTCTTCATTTTATTTTGAACTCCTCCTCCTGCTCAGGTGTGTCTGCACTCAGCCCTGTTCACACAGGTGTGATGATGTAATGATGATATGATGGTAGAGTGTATTAGGGCTGGGTATTGGCAAGAATTTGGCGATACGATACATTTCATGACAGAGGGGTCACGATACGATATATCCCGATATATCCCGATATATTTCGATACTGTAAACAAGGCGATATATTGCGATTTTTTTTGGTCCAAAAATTCTATTAAATAAAAACCTCTTACTGGTAAAGAAAAAAAATTCATTGTCTCAGAAAATTCTAATATTACACAGACATACTTTTTGATACATTTAGCTGTTTTCTGCTTTGTATGTGTTTTATTTTATTTGTTTCATAT